ACCTTGAGCAGGTGCAGGCCAGGTACCGTGGAGGAAGAATGCGGTAGTAAAGCATTGCAATTATAGTCCTTTCTGTTTCCCATATTTACTATTTTTAAAGTCACTTTTCTCAGGATTTTGTCTCTTACCTGCCTTTTTATTAAAGAATCAGTATTTTAACATTTGAGTCTCGGTTAATCATTTCTTTGTTTTATTCTCCTCATCAGTGATTTCTGTCTTTATTATTATTCTTCCCTCTTGTTTGTTTTCTACTCTGGGATTCTTTTTCCAGTTTATAAAACTGAATGCTTTATTTGTATGAATCATTTTTCCTTTGATAAGTGAATTTAGAGTCATAAATCATCCTGTGAGTAAGACGTTAGTGGGTTCTGCAGACTCTGATAGTTATTTTCAGTTCTAAGAATTTAAAATTTCCCTTTTGATCTTTTTATATAGTGAGTTATTTAATATTGTGAACATGATGTTAAATTTGGACTTTCCCTATCTCCAAGCTGACTGGGGCTTTAAAGCTGAAAGCGGCAGATGCTGGTAGTACCTAAAATGTTACAATAATTCTTTTTTCATGTTTTTCATATTCCTGATGGGAATATTAAGCAAAGCTGAAACTGCACATACACCCTGCAACACAGGACCCATGCCCCAGGGTATTCATGGCATTTTTTAAATAATATTAGAAATTGCTATCAAAATCGAGAAATAAGTTATGGAGTATTAATGATGCAATATTCTATACCAACTAGAGTTAATTAAAAACTACATATATCAATATGAACACATTTTAAAAATACAACCGTTGAATGAAATGGCAAGTCTGAAAAGCATATACATTGTTCAATACAGGTAATGAAAAGTAGAAAGATAATACAAACAAAAAAATTCCATAAAAATATATATATATTTGTATGTTACTGTATGTTGTTTATGGACTGAAAGACCTAATGCAAATAATAACATAAAACAACATAATATATCAGTGTGTTTGGCACATGAGTACCCTTCATATAATTTTTTTACAGTTTTTATTTAAATTCCAGTTAGTTACCATACATGTAAAATTAGCTTCAGGTGTACAATAGAGGGATTCAACCCTTCCATACAACACCAGGAGCTCATCACAAGTGCCCTCCTTAATTCCCATCACCTATTTCACCCACCCCTCCTCCCACCTCCCTTCTGGTAACCATCAGTTTGTTCTCTATAGTTAGGAAGTCTGTTTCTTGGTTTGCCTCTTTTTTAAAAAAATTTTTAAGTTCAATTTAATTAACATATACTGTAATATTAGTTTCAGAGGTAGAATTCAGTGATTCATCAGTTGCCTACAACACCCAGTGCTCATTACATCAAGTGCCCTCCTTAATGCCCATCACCCAGTTACCCCATCCACCACCCACCTCCCCTCCAGCAACCCTCAGTTTGTTCCCTATAGTTAAGAGTCTCTTGAGGTTTGTCTCCCTCTCTGTTTTCCTCTAATATTTTATTTTTCCTTCCCTTCCCCTATGTTCATCTGTTTTGTTTCTTAAATTCCACATATGAGTGAAATCATATGGTGTTTGTCTTCCTCTGACTCATTCTGCTTAGCATGATGCCCTCTAGTTCCATCCACATCGTTGTAAGTGGCAAGATTTCATTCTTTTTGATGGTTGAGTAATATTCCTGTGTGTGTGTGTGTGTGTGTGTCTCACATCTTCCTTATCCATTCACCTGTCAATAGACGTCTGGGTTCTTTCCATATTTTGGTTATTGTGGACACTGCTGTATCTTTGGGGTAAATACCCAGTAGTGCAATGGCTGGGTTGTGGGGTAGCTCTACTTTTAACTCTTTCAGGGAACTCTATACTGTTTGCCTCTTTTTTTCTCCCCCTTTGCTCTTATGCAGAATTTAAGAAATAAAACAAATGACCTTTCGAATAATTTTTGTGCTTATTTAGATTGGGGCAAATTTAATATATATTTAATAATTTTTAAATAAAAGTCTACTTTTTTTTAATAAAGATTTTATTTATTTATTTGAGAGAGAGAGCACAGCAGGGGTAAGAGACAGAGGGAGAGGGAGAAACAGACTCCCCGGTGAGCAGGGAGCCCGATGCGGGACTCGATCCCAAGACCCTGAGATCATGACCCGAGCCGAAGGCAGACGCCCAACCGACTGAGCCACCCAGGCATCCCAATAAAAGTCTATCTTTTTAAACATTTCAATCTCTTTTTAAAGCTTCCCCAGACACTTTACAAATGCTAAAATAAATAGAAGCCAAAGTAAACCTTCCTCAGGCCACGGGGCTGTAGGCACCATGCCTTTACACCAGGCCTTCAGGAGATAGTACAGTATGGTCAGAAAAAGCATGAAGGGGCGCCTGGGTGGCTCAGTTGGTTAAGCGACTGCCTTCGGCTCAGGTCGTGATCCTGGAGTCCTGGGATCGAGTCCCGCATCGGGCTCCCTGCTCAGCGGGGAGTCTGCTTCTCTCTCTGACCCTCCTCCCTCTCATGCTCTCTGTCTCTCATTCTCTCTGTCTCAAATAAATAAATACAAAATCTTAAAAAAAAAAAAAAAAGAAAAGAAAAAGCATGAAGTCAGAAGTCAAGCCAACCCGACTCAAACCACAATTCCCACTCCTGCTGTCTTGCGTGATCCAAGATGAGTATTTTAAACTCTGTAAGGCTCACTTTACTCATTGTTAAGCAACGGCAAGATTTAAAAGTTGTTAAAAGAATTAAAGATAATTTAGCTATGATACAAAGCAAGTAGGAGACATTCCATCAATACTAGCCATTACTAACACGGTATATAATATCTATGTATTATATAATTGAATTATTCCGTAACAGCAATTATACCTCTTTGCATCAGAGATGATCTCTGAAGGAAATAAAGAGATGTTCTTTCTAAGGAATTAATGGACACAGTAATAATAATAAAAAAAATTAAAGATGGGCGCCTGGGTGGCTCAGTTGGTTGAGCGACTGCCTTCGGCTCAGGTCATGATCCTGGAGTCCCTGGATCGAGTCCCGCATCGGGCTCCCTGCTTGGCGGGGAGTCTGCTTCTCCCTCTGACCCTCCCCTCTCTCATGTGCTCTCTCTCACTCTCTCTCTCTCAAATAAATAAATAAAATCTTTAAAAAAAATTAAAGAATTAATGGGCAAATTGGGGTAGGGTACAGTACTTACTTATTTTAGTGATTTAAAACAACTCTTTTATTATGCTCCTATGTTCTGTGAGTCAGGGATTCAGGCAGAACTTGGCGGGGGGGTGACTTGTCTTATTTCACAATGTGCAGAGATTCAGCTAGACAGACTCAGAGGCTAGGGGTGAGTGTTTGAGTGTTACTTTGTTTTCGAGTGATTTAGCAGGAAAAAAATTTAAAGTTAATTGCTCTAGTGCACCTAAGAGCTAAGGTAGTGTAAATGACCAAGGCAACTGACAACTGCCAAGTAAAGATCAATAAAAAATTAAGAGAAATCTCTGAAAGGATAATACAACCCAAATGAAGAATAAGAGTTGATTTTTATATAGAGTTTTAAGAACATGGCTATTACATGAAGTAGTATGTATATTTGTGATTTGGGAAGAATATTTACTACCTTACACTTCATATATCATGATATATATATACTTTAATATACTCCACAGAGAAAAATCAGGGAACAGGAAACCAGAGTGAGATCACTCTACTTTTTGGAAATAGCTTGTCTGTAAGAACAACTACAATACTCATCTGGTTTGTCTAGGCATAATTCCTTTGTCTGTGTCTAAACTCTAATTTTTCAAATAAATCTGCCCGCAGCTAGGTGGCCACATTTTTAGCCATCAGGGGGTGGCTGGCTCATTGTGGTTCATAAGCATCAATTCCATATAAAAAAGAAATGGAAAAACACCCTGAGTTGTAAGCAATCAAAATGTGATCAAAATCTAACTTGGTTTGATTAAAAAGGAAAATCCACAGTAATTCACTTTCTCCTTTCTACTCTTCACACAACAAAATAAGAGGTAGTACAGAGAAGCAATTAAAATGAAATTGCCTTTTGCCCCTGGGATATCTGAGTAGAACCTTCCCACCAATGAAGTATTTAGCTCCAGATTTCTCACTTTTCCCCCCTTTGCCATACCAAAATTGCTGTGGTCTTCCTTTAGAAACAACGTCTGTTCGGTTAACCCTGGGCTTCTAAGACTCTTAATCTTTTTATTTTGTAAAAATTGTAAGACTGCACAGTAACAAGGCCATCGGCCCTATTCAGTTAGGACCTTGGATAGGATTGGAAACCAGCCCAGTATCATGAATTCCAACAAACTTGTATAACCTCTGAAATGGGGTGAAAGAATGTATCCGTGACCACTGACCGCACCTAGAATCTGCTCCTGCAGGGAGATATCACAGGAAGAAAAGAGCGTGCAGACATAAATGTGGCAGCACTGTTGCAAAACTCCAACATTCACCCTCCTTTCTGACCACAGTCAGACCTCAGAAGCCAACACACTTACTATTCCGACCTAGGAACAAAAGCTGCATCATTTACCCCAGAGACCCCGAGTCACGGGAGCAGCTCCACTTCAGCCAACAAAACCACGTGACTATACTACAGGACTGGAGACACATGAAGCAGAATTGTAGCAGCAAGAGGAAATGTTCCCACAAATGAAAAAACTCTAAGTCACTTCCAGACTCTTCATGATCTCTCTCATGCATGTCTTCACGATGCGGCAAACACGGGGACATCTAGTAAACACTGGATTCCAGTAAAGCAAACACTAGCGAGGTTCAGAGTATGTATAGATACACACGTGTGGTCTCAGTGCGGCTCGGGAGCAAAAGAAATGGAAGGTGAAGCTCCATCAGGAGCTTGGGGCTGGGAAAGGTGAGCCAAGTGAGTAAGATGGGGGAGCACAGAGTGGCACAACAGGCAGTTGGGAGCACCACTGAAAAGCGACCCCTCACCCCTGGTGAGGTACCCGGCACTCCTCCCCCGGCGATCACAGGGTCACAAAGGACAGGGAGAGCGCTCTTACTGTAGCACACGGGAGTGGCTGAGATCTCTCAAATCCGAGTCCTCATAATGCGGAGTTATCGTTCCCAGCCCGCTGTCGCTCAGCATGCGCTTCCGTAGGGCGGGATTCCACCAGTCGGAAATTCTGGGAGAAAGCAGGGCACCAGGCATTTAGGCATTCAAAGCCAGCATGGCACGTACTCTGCTCTGTCTCAAGATGGTTCTTGTCTAGATGTGAGATGGCAAACTAATCTTCACTGGGTATTTACTAGTTACTTCTTCACATTCATTATTTAATTTTCTCAAGTATCATGAACTATTTGTGTGCTTCTGCCCTCTACAGATGAGAAAACTGCCTTTCAAGATTAAGTAATTTTAGGGGTGCCTGGGTGGCTCAGTCAGTTAAGCATCTGCCTTCGGCTCAGGTCATGATCTCAGGGTCCTGGGATCAGCCCCACTTTGGGCTCCCTGCTCTGCAGGGAGTCTGCCTCCCCCCCCCACCCCCCACCGTGCATGCACTCTCTCTCTCAAATAAAAAAATGAAATCTTAAAAAAAGATTAAGTAATTTTAAATGTGATGTAAATAAGAAGTAATGGGACCTGATGTAGAAATGGAAATTAGGAAATAACAAAGCCCATCCTTTTTCACTGCTTTCCTGTCCTTGTTCATTTCCAGAAGGGGCAACTGGCCAGAAATAAGAAAGGGACTGATTGAAGTGCTAATGGATTTTCAAGCTACTTTGAGCTACTTTATTTTTGGAGCTAGGGCTAATAGAGGATGCCCAGGACAAAGCCATTTCTTTTGGCCAATTATTGATATAGAGAGAGGGCAAAGAGCAGGGTGAGTGTGGTAGAACGGGTTTACTCTTAACCAGATTGAAGACTGCAGCCAAGATCATGTTGGGCAAGAGGACAGCAAGACTCTAATGCCCACTGCCCCTGCAGGATGATCCAGCATCTCACTAGCTTTCCCCACTGCGGACAGGCTGGATTTACAGACATGGACTGTGAAGATGGGCTTCTCCACCACCTTCTGGGACTCCCGGGGGTACACATTTGTTATCACTAGCTCTGGCTTTCCTAAACGCCGCTATATACCTGCCCCATCCTGCCACTTCTGTCTTCTCTGGACTTGATACATATCACTGATCCCAGCTGGCCTTGGCAGAGTAAGAAATATTCAGAAATGGCAGCAATGACCAAATAAATTAGTGCACAGGGGTAAACAGGCATAGGGTTACCTCAAGTGAACATGTCTACATATATGTGTGTGTGTGTTTGTGTGTGTGTGTGTACACAATTCACAAATGCTATTTGAGTGCCTGTGTGTGTGTGCTTTCCAGGGAAATCCTTATTTTAACTATTTGGCCTTCATATACCAGTTAAGACATCAAAATTCATCAGACTTTACAAGGGCAGAAATGTTCAATTTTTTTATTTTTGCACTGTTGTTTCCTAACGGCTTCTACTGGTAGCTGGCACCTAAAAAGGTCTCTAAATAAGTATTTTGGAATTGCTGAAATAACCTAGAAATATTAATAATATTTTGGTGGTTCAACATAGTGATTAAATGCACGGGCTTTAGCATAAAACCTGGGACCAAATCTCAATTTTGCCATTCATTTTCTGTGCAATGGTGGCAAAGTTAAAGAACCCTCTGAGTCTCAATTTTGTTATCTGTGGATTTAGGATAATAATAGTACCAGACATGCAGGGGCACTGTGATAGGATAGTGATGACGAGGATCATTTTAATAACACCATACTGAATGAGTGTCTACCAAGTGTCAAGAACTATCCTAAATACTTCACACGTATCAACTGATTTAATTTTCAAACAATTCTCTGCATAGGCTTCATTTCCATTTTACAGATCAGGAAATAAGCACAGAGCACTTCCAATGACAAGGTTACTATGAAGCGGTGGTAGGGATATAAGAAAGGCATTTAGGACAGTATGTGGCTCATAGTAAGTGCTTGATACGTCATAGTTATTATTATACCATCTATGTCTCAGGCTGCCTGGATCTAGCAAAAAAGGAGGAGGAAGTGGTAGAGGAGAAAAGTAAGAGTCAAACCACCTGTGCCCATTTTCCTTTGGATGATACAAGCATTATAGATATATATGCACAAATGCAAATACTAGTACTTTATAGTTTGGTAAGAAGTGTGGATGTAGTGGTTAAAGAAAGTTCAGACATGGTACAAATCTTGGTGGGAAAGAGTAATTCTATGCAGCCATTCAAAAGACAGACACAGAATGGAACCAGTTATGCTACATGCTAATGAAACCCAGCAAGAAAACCTGTATTTCAAGATAGTTCAATGTCATTAGAAATGTCCAGTGCAAAGCCACGTTGGACACGGATGTCACGCTGTGGCCAGCCTCACTACCACATCACCAAAGAAGGGCGCACTCACCCTGAGGCTTGCTCCACCACCAGGTCAGGCATTCCTGGAGGTGTTCCTGCCTGCTGTGACAACACCATATCTGGATCCAGAATAAAAATCTCATCTTGGGAAATCTCCATCACAAAGTGCAAATGTTCCTAAGGAAGAAAAAAGAAGTCTGTCAAAGGATTGACAAGATGCTCAAATCTATCATCTGATAATATCAGTGACAAAACAAAGCATCCTTGGTCTTGAGGGATAATGAAAGTCGATGGCATATCCAAAGACCACAGTGCATTTTCAGAGGTCAGACCAGTGGACATCCATCCCTGAAGCGACATGGTAGCAAGAGACTGGTGAGGGGAAGAGGTGAATCCTTCTTGGTTTGGGATTCCTACTTGACCAGGATCTTGTCAGGTGTAACCAGAGATGGGCTTGCCTCTTCTTCCCAAATACTTTTGAAGAAGCGACACCCCACTTGTGGCTTGGTCCAGCATGAATTGTGCAGTAAGCTGGACTTGGACCCCCAGGATCTGGCCAAAGCTAAGTGGCATGATTAACAACTGGTTTTATCACTGGATTCCATGACATATTATTATTTCTTCTCCTTCTTCTTCTTCTTTATTGCAGGAGAATTTGGGCAGTAGGAACATTTATTATCATTGAGCAGAAGCATTTTTTTTTTCTCATTACGAAATCCCGGGAAGTGATGAGTTGCAACTGAGTAGCATAAATATACACCTGAGGTGTCAAACTTGCTAACCAAAATAAACTGAAAAAGCCATAAAATGGATCTAGGAAGTAGTAAAAGTAGCAGTGTGCAAGAAAATTTAGAGTGCAGGCTGGTGATAACATCTATAAGCCTAGTTATTGTCTGTACTCATTTACAAGGTCAAATCTTGAGTCCACAAATCACAAAATGTGTGAAGACAAATAAAAAAACTCATAACTTAGGCTATGAGTACCATTCCGGAATGTGTAAATGTTTTAGGGTTTACATTAGAAAAAATGTGTAAGATTAGCTACCAATAAAGTCTATTGATTGTGGAATTTTTCACTTTTACAAATAGGCTCAAGAAAGCTTACCTGAGATCTGTCTATTCGGTAAAAGCGATCAGCGGAAGTTGCTAGGAAAGAAAAACGTATATGGCATTCAGAGTCCTGTGATCTAGCACCAAATTTACAACCTTCTCTCCTACTATGCCACTCAAAATCTTTGCATTCCAGGCATGCCGGCCTGCTGGCCAGTTCCTAACTTTAGAAAAACTCAGAACTTCCCTGTCTGCTATGGCTAGCCCCCAGCTTAGAAAGCCCTTCCCCATTACATCTCCCTAACTAAATCTTACCTGTCTCTTAAGGACCAACTTAAATGCTGCCTCCTCTGAGAAACATTCTTCCATCCCATCTTCCCTACTCTGGACAGAATTCATTGCTCCTACCTTTAGGCATGTTCACCTTTTTTTATACTTCTTGTAGACACCATCTTCATAAATAACTAGGAGATAGAGATATCTGCCTCTTTAAAGGTCTGTGCTTCATTTACTCTTTTATGTCTACAGACACTAGCACATGACCTTAAACAGAGCTGGGACTCAGTGTGTATTTATTAAGTAAATAAAGGTGGTGGTGGGGGGAGGGGGGGGGACCCGTAGGTAGCCAGACTTCCCAAGGAAGTGATTCTCATTTTGAAAAAAAAAAGCTTGAAGATGCAGAGCCAGGGACCCCATCTGGTACTGAAGGATTCATTTCACTTCAAGATCGAATTCCTAAGCCATGTCTAAAGAAAGCCAAAACAGTAAAAATAATTATTTAAGCATTCCTAAAAGGAACTGGGTTGCATCTGTGGTTTGGGGAAAAAAAATTGCAAACTTTCAGTTTGTAGACACTATTCTGATTATTCTTAATACTTTCAGTTTGTAGACACTATTCTGATTATTCTTAATACTCAAAAGAATTATGTTCCTCCTCACTTAAATCTATCTAACAGAGTAGAAAATAAATAGATTTTCTACAAAGTACATAGTCCTAGAGGGAATAACTCAAAATGCAAATAATCATTCAAAAATCATAACTATTTAATGAGTAGCTTCTCTCCAAAGGACATGAGCTGAGACACAAGACAATCACGGTCCCTCCCCGCTAAAAGCAACAAAGGAATAAAATCTGAGGACTTATTCTACTTTGGTTCTTTTTAACCTTAAGTGTGATCACCTTTTAAAGGTTTTTCTATCTATAGAATATAACTAACATCACACTTGTAATTTTATCTAAGAATGTATATAGAACAGACTACATATAGAACAATTCATATAAACTTCTAAAATTTTCTCAAATATAAGTTGTTTCCCTGTGAATTCAGGAAAAAACACATGATTGTGCTTTTCATCACAAGGGAATAAAGGAGCCGGAGGAAAGTAGTGTCAGTTATCTTCAGAGTAGGTGATGAGCTATTAATGAAAACCTAGGTCATGATTCACTTGGGTTAGATCTGATATAAATACAAGTGTTCATCTTCATAGTACTGTTTACATACTCACACATCCTGTCGCACTCTTGTCCGCATTTATATCTGCATCCCCAGATCAACCAAAGAAATGTCTACAGTGAAAACCACATGTCCACATAGACAAGAGAGATACCTGGTTGTTGATATACTGGGCAGTAGATAAGCAGGAGTGTACTGTAATATGGGTAACTAACTGATAGAAAAACAGGATTAGGCAGCATCTAGTGAGTGAGGGATGCTTGCAATGGAAAATGAACCCATTAACCAATCAGAAAATAACTGAAATACATTCAATAGGCCATGCTCAGCAGAGCAGATCTGAATGCAACTGAAAATTTCTACATTTTTGCAAAAATGTATACTCATACTGAAATGATGGCTAATGGAAATATACGAAAGTTACAATAAGCAAACAATAGGGAATTAGTACCTGTCTGCTGTGTACTGTATCCATCTACTGGCCTGAATTTAAGATAAGCCCTCAACATGTTTCAGGAAAAGGGAGGGGGGGCGGTGGGCACGGAAAGGGAAATGTCAGTTTGGGCAATTTGATGCTGAGTTCAGCCCAAGGTAACCAACTTTCTCTGAAAAAAATGACTTCAGGAAAGTATGTCGCAACATCAGTGAGTCCACATAGTTTGAGATGCAAATACCAGTCACACAGAGCCACATAAAGAGTTTCTGAATAATCCCTTGGAAAACCAGGGTCCACTCCACCCCATCTATCAATGCATTGTTGTCCTGCTACTTCTGCAATCCCCACTGCTCCATGAAATAGAGAAACACTCACCATCTAGAAAGCACCACCGTGGGGAGAGTCTCTGAGCTGAGAGCGCCCTGGGGAAGGAGGTTTCGTGGTCCTGGAAAGAGACACATACATCCTCCTGACTCCATTTGAATGATCTGAGGGTTTTAACTTCACTGTACCATATCGACTACTTCTAAGAGTGAGCATCCTTTCCTAAACCGAGCACTGGTGAGAGGCCAAATCGTATTCTTACTAGAAAGAGAGGCTGTCCTTTGAAATAAATTACTTCACACGGGACCTTCGAAAACAACTCCCACATAAAATTTCTATGAAGTTCTCAACTACTCTATTAAGCATTCAGAAATGACATAACTGGGGACATTTACCTCGTTGAGGGAATTTCTTTGCTTTTGTGAAGCTAAGGAAGTAGGGGCAGCTGGCTGTCATTTACACTTTGGTTCCCCACATAGATATAAGGAAGGCACTGGCACAAAATGGGAAGGGGCTGAGCCTCATCTACTGGCCAGAATGGACTCGCAGCATTGAAGAAACACAAGAGGCCATCCATCTGCAGTGTAAAACCCCTTAACTAGATTAGCATCTGTTATACAGGGCAATTTGTCTGCATGAAAGCAAAGAAAATCAACATCACATATTGAGGCCATCATTACCTCAACCTTATCCACTGAACCTGACTGCAGAGCTGCGCACAAGGAGGAAGAACCTTCTGCCAGGCTGGCTGGTGACAAAATCGTCTGCCCAACATGGACTTAGCCAACGATGTACTCATCCGCCTTAGCATTCTCCAGCTCTCTAGCTTCTAAGATGCCCGATCCTACCCCCTCTCATGTGTGAACTCAAGGCCATCTGCTAGCCTCCATCTCCTCTCCTTTAGCCTTAGATAAAAAGGTTGTTTCCTGTTCAAAGCTAACCACTTCATCTAGTCCCCAGATTACCCTCTTCTTTCCTTTCAAACTTTATTTCTGTATTCTTACTGAAATCCTCTTCCCTACCCAGAAATTCATTAATTTTTCTGCTTTCAGTGGCTCCCCCTCTCTAAAACAAATTCCCCTCGATTGATCTTGTTACATCTTCTGAAAATTAATTTCCCCTTCCTTGCCCTGCCAAATCCCTGAAATATGCCTCAGTATCTCCTGCCTCCAACTTCCCCTTAGCCATTTTGGCCCGACCTCTAGAAGAATGGCTTCTGATGCATCATTCTTCAAAAGCTGCCCTTCCAAGAGATCACCAGGACTAGCATCCTTCCTGATTTAATACTACTACCAGTTCCCAAGATTTCCAGAAGTCTCTGAAGCTTTTACTTCTTACAAGGAATTAAGGCCACATCACAGAAGAACAGACTAGGGAACTGGCAGATTGAAAGCAGAAGGGATTATCTCTTTATAATTCCAAACTTTCAAAAACTGAAAATCTCCCCTAAGAGAAACTCTGTCAATGATAATTTAAAAATAAAAAGCGCATTCTAGTTTACAACACATAACTTGGAGCATTCTAGCCCTGGCTTATAATGACACTGAAATCGTTGACAGAAACAGGACAAATGAGGAGGGAGGTTAGGTCTCTGTGGGGAAGGCAGTGGGAGTTTGACCCACATTAGGGATTTGAGATGTTCTAATACAGGTAGCATCCCTGGAGTGCAGCTGGGTGTGGCGGATCCATGTGTACCGGAGGGGGACAGGAGAAGGAACTAGGAATAACATAGGACAAACAATAAGGAACTAATCAGAGGTTGCATTGACTTGTTTGGGGTTTTGATCAACACTCCCTCATGCCTCACTTGCTCCTCAGGCAAAGCCTATGCTTAGATCAGCGGGTCTCAAAATGTGAACCGTGGAGCAGCGGCATCAGCTAGGAACTTGTGAGAAATACAAATTCCCTGGCACAACCACAAATTTATAGAAACCCTGGGAGTGGAACCCCGTAATCTTTCAGGTGAAGGTGATGTACGCTAGAGGTTTAAAAGCATGGACCTAACAAAAGGGATCCGTTTTATTATAAGAAACCTTGACTACCTGGAATTTTTAACATGAATGGATTCTGCAAAGTAAATAATTGATAGAGAAAAAAACTGGTCTTGGGTCTGGCACCAAAATTTTATATTTATATGTGTAGAATTGATATAGCTATGGATAGACAGATAAATACATATCTCTATGGATATATATGTAGCTATGAACACAGAGATATTTCTCTCTTTTCTGAACGGGCTTTGCCATCCTGCTGGTTGCACTAAATGAAATTGTGATATGTGCTCAGTACCTATTTGTATGAAAATCACATTTAACATTTCGAGAAGTACATTTTGACACGTGATATACTGTTTTAAAGAAACTTAAGGTTCTTACTGTATTTTTATAAAACATGTAAAGTCACCAACATGTCCGTTTAGTGTCAAATGTAGTAAGTCAGGAGATTCAAATGTGATTTGAAATATTTAGTGCCAACTATGAAAGCTCCTAAATAAAAATATTAAACAGAAACATGGCTGTCTTCTCTAGAAATAAAGATGGCTTAGACACCAAGGACAGTTTCTGAAATCTGATGTCAAATGTGCTACAGAGAGCCCCCCACACAAAAATGAAATTTCCCTAGGTAAAAATCTACTCTGAAAGAACTCAGAAGTGCTTAATTTATCATTTAAAAAAACCTAAAGATTAATAATGTTATTGCTGGAGTATTCAAATTAGAGAATATCAGATATTATTTAGTCTCATTTAATAAAATGCAAATTGAAAAAATAAATAAAATGCAGATTGATATACTGCCTCAATCACGTGACTAGCTTACCACAGGCTGGTAAAATAATATTGGTATAATTGTATACATGTTTATATATGAAGGTCTGTGTGTCAGGAGAGTTTTATGGATGTGCCTATTTATTTTGTATATTTTCTGTTTGTTTATTTTCTCTACACCTTAATTCACAGGCATTTGCTACAACTCAACTTCCTTAAAGAGGTTTTATTTAAAGAGAATGTTACCAGTTTGCTCTGTGAAAACACACTGGCTGCCAAAGAATAGAGATCTTTGAAACACTTCAAATAGGTTCAAGTGGACCCTCGACTAAGTTCAACAAGCCTTAACTCCCTGAAATTTTATGCTAAATTCAGTGTGTCTAGTGGAGGTGCATGTTTCACTGCTTTCTATAGGTTATCAAAGTGATCTGGAATCCCAAGAAGCTCATGAGAAAAATGTCATTGAAAAATAACTGGACACTCTCTTGGTCACATGCAGATTAACCCAGCGTCTTAGGAGATGGTTACAAGTGCACTGGGAGAGCCCTAACTTCTCTGATGTAGCTCCCCTGAACTAGGTTTGCATCCTCTCCCTCCTTTTACAGAGCTCCTTCAGCCTTGTTCATAAAAAAAAATTGTCAGCTCTTAAAAACAGAATTATTAATATAATAAAGTCCTATGTTAAAAGGCATTTGAGGAGTGCCTGGGTGGCTCAGTTGGTTAGGCGTCTGTCTTTGGCTCAGGTAATGATCTTGGGGTCCTGGGATTGAGCCCTGCAGTGGGCTCTCTGCTTAGCAGGGAGTCTGTTTTTTCCTCTCCCTCTGCCCCTCTCCCTACTTGTGCTCTCTCTCTCTCTCTCAAATAAATAAATTTTTTTTTTTTTTAAAAAAGGTATTTGAATTCCAAAGTAAAAATGCAATTATCACCTACCCCAATCTGGGAAGGATTTATAATGCAATGCAATTAAACTACTTATTTCCAAATGTTACATGTCAAAAAGATATATAAAAGCAGTCAAGTCTCAGCAAAATTTTCCCCTTGGATCTAATCTAGCCCACACATATATATGCAGATGAAAGGATCTCACTTGCATTAGGACCCTAAAAGTTGGAGATTACCTAAAATCAGTGTTAAAATGATGTTTCACTGCAGCAGATGGACAAAATGTAAAAACATACCCACAAAATATACCAACAATCTATAAAATAAGACACAAAGAAATTCAGCTAATCAGCACAGCTGGGTGTTGGATGACATCTAAAAGATCCAGGGGAGAACAGGAGGTAAAGAGCAGGTGAGGGATGGGAAATCTGGTGGTGGTTGAGGCTGATGTATTTCACTTGAGTTGAAAAATGGAGCCCAAAACTACTTTTAATGAGAAAGTCTGCTTTGGAAAACTGATTGTGTGTGTGTGTTCCAATACAAGTTTATTTATGGACACTGAAATTTAATTTCATATAATTTATGTGAATTATAAAATATTCTTTGGGGTTTCTTCAAGCATTAGAGTATCTGAAAACCATTCTTAGTTCACAGGCTGTGCAAAAGATAAATAGGCAGCATACTAGATGTGGCACTTGAGGTATAGTTTTTCAGATCTGTGGTTTTATTCATTACAAGAGTGCTTGATTTGTGATTATATTACATCTAGATTTAATAGGAATTGTGTTCCCCGACAGGCCCATTTTTTTTAAATCTGATCTTGTGAGTTATCATGTCATTGCTGCCTCATCAAAGGTTGCTCTGTTTGAAAATTCTGTAAGTGGAACTCAGGAAGAAGACATACTTCAGCTAAGAAAATCCCTTATGCTGAATCTGGTCCATATAGTACTAGGAGTTTTTCACTGGTAACCCTTTAGTGATGAAACCCAAAAGATAGCAGTAGATAATCACACTATAAATTCTTAACATCTAAAAGTTAAGTCAAATGGCGTAGGGGTGGGTTTTCTGGAAAACTCATATTTTTGTAGGATGACATCATCAGACTAAGAAATGAGATGACAAGAGAGTCTCTGTCCTGGAGGTGTTTCGGAAAGGCAGTTCTATGGATGAGAAGGGATAATAGTGCAATCCATGGTACATGATCCAGCCTCAAGTAGAAAACCCAGAGGCAGCGGAATTCTGGTAGCCGAGAAGACCAGCTCGTGAACAGGACAATCTTGGGGCTTCACCACCTACTAACTGAGATTTTATGCAAATTTCTTATCTACTCTGTACCTTGGCTACCTCATTTGTAAAATGGCTACCATGGTATCTATTATAAAGGATTCTTTTGAGAAATAAGTGCAAGGACACGTGGAATGCTTAACCCATGTGTTGGCACACGTAGATATGCTGATATTGTTATGCTACGCAA